TTGCGTTCCGCACTGTCTTGTTGCAAAAACTCCAGGACCATGGCTTGAGAAGCTGAGTCGTAGCCGATACTTCAGCAAAAAAAAGCACTACCTAAGCTATAGCACACGAGCGAAGTGGCACACGTGAAGTCAAGTCTCAGGCACACGCGCTCCCCATGCTTGGCAGGCTTTCTTTCACACAGTCTAACCTAATAAGACGCTAATTCCAGCAAGCCGGCCCAGGGATCCTCACGTTAGCAACAAACGCCGGTCGGCTGGCCAGCTTCCAGAAGCTTCCTTTTTGAGCAAGATACGAAATTAATATTAATGTCGCCTAACGAGTAAACGTTTTGTCGTGTGGCATATGACAGGTTTCAAGCTGCCATGTGCACTTTCTTCCCCTAGGCCCCTTTTCTACGAGTCTTTTGTTTTTATGATGAAGAAGATTTAATTCATTTTGGACTGCAATAATGAGTATAGGCAAATAGGAACTCCAACAGCCTTCTGACGCGCGGACTGAGTGAAGCCCGATATCTGCACAACGTACGCGTAGAAAGTTACAACAACCGACTTGGACTTTCTGAGATTCCGGCTTATGCGTTGCGTCTCCAAACTTAGAATTCTGCTATACTCTGAAGTTTCCAGGAGATGTCTTCGCGAGAGCCTAAAAATAAGCAAAAACGTAAAAACATAGCGCCACCTTGAAGATGGTGTTTTTGTTTATTTCCAGTTTTAATATTAATCATGCGTCATCACATCGAACCTTGAAGCTAATTAACCTACCTCTTCACAAGAATGAAATTCGTCGATATCATTTCAGATAGACACGATTGAAATGTGGGCATTTGCAAGAGACTTTCAGAAGAACCCCTTAATAACCGATATGTTATGGAGACACCGTTCGCGTCACGTAGTTGAAGAACGAGGTAAAGCGTGCGTGCGCGTGCTTAAAAACCCCAGTTAAAAGACCCCGTAGATTAAATACCTCTCTAGCGTTTGTAAACTTGCATTCTTGAACAGACTTTCGAGTTACGCGTTGTCCAGGATTGTCGTAAATTCGGTGCAGTTTTACGAGACAAAACTGGGGAAAAAGACATGCATAATTAGTTTCGTTGCGCGTCGTGCATCGCGTAGCCGACCAGAACCTTAGCATCCTTGCAATCAAGGAACGAAGGCTGTCGACGCGCGAGGAAATATCTTCACAAGGAACCGCCTGGAAGCCCCCAGGCTGCTACACACATTCGTGTCCGAGTGTGATAAACTGCATTGCAGCGGTCCTTGACCGCTTACGGAGAGGGAACGCACTGGCACGCTGGCGCCATCTATCGGTAGCCCTAGAACACCATCGATCTGCGTTGCACTATTTGCAGGATAAAATCTATGCCCTGTTTACGAGAAATAGCACCCTATAATATGGTCAGAATTGTTTCAAGCAAAGGCGGTGGGAGAATGACGCGTGAAATACGGCCGGAAGTGTTCAAGAAAGACAACCAAAGTTAACGCCAGTCGTAAGCAGTCATAGGCGATCGTAACGCAAGCAGCAATTAAACGTAATTATGTGAACTAGCCTTTAAAGTGGTAGAAAATGTTTCGCTAAGAGACCTGGCTCTCGGCGAAGCTTCGGCCGCCACGCCGAGGCTCTTGAATCTGCTTCCCAAGGTCCTCTTACCACCCACGTTCGCGATTTCGTTTGGTCCGTCGAACGCTACGGATTAGCAGGTGGTCACTGAAGTCGTACATAGGGTTCAAACACGAGTGTGTGAACCAACCTTTGGAGTGGTGGCCAAGCGTTTCACCGAACGACTTGGCTCTTCAACGCAGAATGAACGCAAATTGGATGGTTCGTGTTTAGACAGCGTGAGGTCGATCTGCCTTTGGTGCGGTCCGGCGACGCTGGTTACGCTTCAGATGAGAAATTAGGCCGGTGTAGTACGACTGCTCGCCTGGGGTCTTTAACGTACATCTCGCAGTAGCGATACACATCCGCACGCAGGTACGATGCTCATCCGAATTTAAACGGGCAGGGGTGAGAATCGCTTAACTCTTGAAGCGACGAATAACCTCGCCTTTTCGAGCAAGTACCTTCAAGGAAGGTTGTTCCGGGACAAAGACCGCTGCCGTGAACACATCCTAGCACCGTCATCCATGGTGGGCATTTCACGACTGCGGCACGACTCGCATCCGACGGATCGGGCACCAGCAACAGCACCAGGCAGGCGCCACCGGCACGACCTCTGTCGCCCGCCTCAGACACCCAAAAGCATCAGCTGCTGCTGGTCCGGGGCCGGCCCTCGCCCTTCCAGCAACAACAAGAGCACGCCACGCAACCGGGCTATGCACGAGGAGGCCGGCGAGGAGGTCGGCCACAACAGAAAAAAAGGAAAGAGCAACAGCCATCAAAGCCGGTTTGCCGTTCGCGACTGTTCGCCGCACCGGCAGCTGCGGAAAGCGTTCTCTCAAAACTTCCTCGGGATCTCACGGACGCGGTCAGTCAGTCGACGATCGGCCGTTGGAGGAACAGGCCGCTCTGGAGCTTCCTCGAGGACCTTACGCTCTCTGCCGACCTTCGTCCGTTGACTCGCCCGTCCTCCCGTACTTCCGTCCGTCCAGCTGACTTGGGGCCGTGGTCCTCTTGGACACTGTCGACTCGGATCCTCAGATTTTCGAAGGGACGCTGGTCTTCGTGGTCTGTCTCGTCCAGGAAGCGTGGGCTGTGGCGGAGGGCTCTTTTCTGTAAGTCTGCGAAACCGAGCGCTCCTCTCTGTCTCCGCGTGATCCTGAGAGTGTCACCGGGTGCCGGTATTGCACTCGGGAAGGTTAACAGGTGACACTGAAAAAGTGCGGCGGTTTAATACCGGGATTAGATAATCGGGAAGTCTTGTTTGTCCGGATTTATCAAACTGACAGGTGAGTGGAAAAAGAAAAGTTGGCCTTTTCCGTTCGGATAGTTGACTATTTCTTCCCGTTCTCATGTCGTGCGTGCGTGCAGTGCTATCGCAGACATAGGTGCAAGAGCGTTTAGTAAATAATTAATTGTGTTGTGTGTATGCTTCAAAACGAGAAGTTAGTAAGCACCGATGGGCGTCTGGTCTCGCTGCTGTAAATGTGAACTTTAGCCAGAGCAGTACGACTGCTGGCCTTGAGTTTTTAACGTGCATCACGCATTAGTGATACATGACCGCACGCCGGTACGATGCTCATCCGGATTGAGACAGGGAAGGGGGGGGGGGGGGGGGGGGGGGGAGAGCGACTAATTTCAGGATTTCTGGGTTATGCAGTGCGAGCTTTCGCTCCACGTGTTCCGAGTTGTGGGGCGTCATCACACTAGGCTGCAAACTTTTTTTTTTTTTTTATAGCTCGCCTTTCCCCAGCGCATTCCCGGTGACAAGCTCGCAAGGGCGCTTCTGTTTTCGTCACTATGGGTAGTGCACGTATTTCCATGGTGCATAGAAGCTTGGCACTGCACGTGCTCGCACCAGCGGAGGAAATTGAAGTATGCTCACTCTGCGTTGTGAAAAGAATTCCACCAGGCGGCGATTCCCATACTTCTCGCCGCAAATAGCCCCGCAACATACTTTGTTCACGAGGGATGGTTGCTGTTTTCTAAGTTATGCATTCTCCCCAATGTTTCCTAAAACGCTTCGCATAGCTCTTCAGCTTCAGCAAAGTAGAATATCAAGTAATGGTTAAACAACTTCAAGCCAATTTGCCCTTGAGATTTGGCGATACTAGTTCAAAGCTATAAGAGTGAATATGCCAGTGCAGTTCGACTGCCAACCAGAGGGTTTGTAAGGGTACCACGGAGCAGTGTTTACGCGATCGCACGTCGGTAAAATGCTCGTTCATCTCAAAACCGACAGGAGCGGGCAGGTGTCCTGGGATGGTGTTTACCTTGCTTTAAAGGACCGACATATCTTTTTAGACAAAGATGTTTTCGTTCATTTGCTTTATTTTTTATTCTATCTCAGTCATTGATTAGCTGTGTGTGTGTGTGTCTTATCTTCAATATTGACTGACGGGTATTTTTGTTTCAACTAAGCCTGACTATGTTCTTGCCCCAATTCTCGTTTACGCCTTAATTTATATCTTTTTGCTTAAACTGGACTTTGTTTTTGTTTTTTTTTTCTTACTCGTGTCGGTTTTGATTTCCAGGTCGTCAACGCAAGCTAGAGGTCCCCGAAACGCGCGTGGGGTGAAATTCAGGCTATCCAGCAAACCGACGTCACAGTTATCTGCCCAGAAAGCAGCCGTCGGGAGTGCAGTAAAAGAAGAAACCGCATCCCGAGAAACGCTCGTCACGATAACGGAACGCGCTCCAAAAGTCCCTTCCCCGTAAAGCTCGTTGTCCAAGGGGGGGAGAGAGACCCATAACCCCATTCCTCGGGCCCCCCGAATCTATCGAGGTGAAGAGACTACGAAAACGCTTCCTTACCCGCTGGGAAAATTCCAACCCCGAAAAGCCGGCCCGCGATCTTGAATCATCAAAAAGACCCATCCCCCTCAAGACCGACGTCTTCAGAACGGCCATCCTTGAAGACCAGAAACAAGTGAAAAGAAGGATCTTCATCCGTTGACGTCCGCCCGACTTTGGACAAGACCCCACGAGGAAGGCGAGTCTGTTCTGCCACTTTAGACGAGCCGTCGTCGAATCGTCAGAAAGAAGGTGACAGGTCTGACGGACGCGTCGAGAGAAAGCGGTTCTGTTTTGCGATCAGCTGTCCCTCCCAGGAGGACTCTTGCGGAAGCAGCAGGCTCGAAAAGAAAGCGCGAGAGAGAGAGGGGGGACCCGTGCTCTCTTCTGGAACTGGGAAGACTTGCCGTGCACGTCTTCGAGGAGCAAGTCCACGCACCGCCGGGAATGTCGTGGGCGAACAGGCGGCAGTGAATTCACTCGCTCAAGGACGCAAACTTGCGTCGGGGAGCGGATATCGAGAGAGGCGACGCCGCGACGCGCGGACGACGCTTGGAAAAGGAAGAAAACAAGTCTGCCGAAGCAGCAACAGACGAACAAGGCGGCCGCAATGACGAACCGCAGCAGCAATCGCATCAAGGTTGCCGTGCTCGGAGGCCCAAGAGCTGGAAAGTCGGGTGAGTTTACTGATTTTTCTTTCGTCCTTTTTTTAGTTGCGACTCTCGCTCCGAAAGGACAGTTTGTTTCTCATTTCGGTGCGCACGTTGTCCAGACTTGTTTTCAAAGTTGCCCCGTCGACTTGTTGTTTTCTCGCCCCCCCCCCCCCCTTTTTTTTTCTCCTGACGGGGGGTGCTTGACAGTTTGTCGGATATCCGCGTAGGATGGTTCGTGTCGCTCGTGTAGTTGGATTGTTTTGTATGTTTCTTTCTTTTTGAGTCGATGACGGTTAGGCTAACGTTTTGATATCCTATCGTCTATACAAACTGTTTTCATAATTTTAAGCTCTACTTGGAATCATCAGATGCGGGATTGGGAGTATGAAGTAAAGCATTTTACTTTAGATGTCACGGGCGCAATGCGGTTTTCGGCACTGAATAGCAAAACAGATTCGCCGTCAAATTCTGCTTGTTTGTTTTATGATTCCGTCTAAACCAAGGACACATACATATAAATTAGTGGAGAAGTCCCTATACGTTCTGAAGAGAAGGAAATATAATGGTTGTTTCGTTTTACTTTTCCATCTACTCATTCAAACTTCCAGATGTGGAATTATCTCATACATGTTGTTTCTTCTCTTTGTTTTTTTTTTTTTTTAGTTACCCAAAGTAGCGATAATTACTATTCAAAGCATCTAGCAGTGATATCTCATGTTTTTATTCGACATGGACAGCGTTGAGTTTTGTGCGTATCTGTCTGTGGGGGGGATAGTATAATGATGGCACACCGTGGTTTCCGTTATAGGTATTCCATTTGTCCTAGCTTCTACGATTGGCCACTACTTCGAGGGTCAGTATTGCGTTCAAATACATAAATAACTCAATGATTCCGAGTTGTCACGCTGTGTAACATCGAGTCGGACCGACAATACTTACTATTGTGGTCGCGCACTTCACGTTTCTTTTCTGAGTCGTCTACAGACAAACACCAGTTCAACTATGCAAACTGCAACAGAGATTCATGCAGATAGATTTACAGGATCTGCAACCTCAAGGACCTGCGCTAATCTTCGAAGCGAACAAGCGCGGCGTCGCTCAATCCGACGCTATCGCGCAGCCTTGCATGGCTCGCCGGTTAAGCAGTGAAACATTCCCTCAGGCTATCGCAATAATCGACAGGCGCGTGTGCGGATTTCTTGAGCGCCACCGAGGCATTGGCCTTGTTCGTATCAAAGTAGTTAAAGTCGTTTCGTACTCGCAAATGGCATTGACTACCCGCAACAAAATTGACAACTTTTGATCTACACAAAGCTGTGTGAGAGAAATGCGAAGTATCCCCAGTGACATCGATCACGATCACGAGGTACGCAGACGCTGTCGGGCAGAGCAGAAATCGGTTTGTCCTACTACATTCCTCACGCATCATAAGCAAGAACTTTAGACGTCCCGGAAACTTTCGTATGATACGGTGGTGCATACAAAGTGCCCCTATGCTTTTTTTAAGTACAGATCTATTGGGACTTTACACGTGTACTGCATGCTACGACACTTACCTGATATGTGTATATATTTACTGCGCGCTTCTTGAGCGGCCGATGATGCGTACTGTTTACGCGGATAGTTTATTAGCGTGTAATTGGTACTGTAACGAACGAGGTAGGATGACAGAACTAAGGGCGAGCGAGAGATGCTTGCCTTTAGAGAGAAGCATGGAAGGTATGGGGGTGGGTGGAATAGGTCTAACTGGCTTGATATAAGCTCTCTAGGTGTATATACGTGAGCGCGATCAGAACGGTTTTATTGCACTTGGGCAATCCTGTTAGTCGATTGAATAGCAGTGGCTCTAATAGGTTTCAGAGTACGGTTTTGTACATAAAAGGGCCATGAGATGACTGTTTGGTTGTGATAAATAATTTTAGATCGGAATCTTACTAGGTAATCACTAATCGTGCAGTAGTGGGCCGAAAGAAAGAGGATGAAAAGTCAAAAGCCTGTTTTTGGGTTCTAAGATTTCGGAAATATAGCGGGCTACTTTCACCTATTTCGTACCTCCTTTCCTTCGAAAGCTTTCCGCTCTTTCACTGTGATACTTCCGCAATACCCAAAGCACGTCAGCCTGCCCCCAGTTTACGTGTTGGACAAGTGCACTGCGTCACTCGGACGTATAATCAGTCAGTCGACGAATACTTGAATTCACGTTCGTGGCTAATGAGTGTCGTGATGGCACTTATCATCGTTTGCGAATGGCAAGTTCCATGGTGTGCTTAAAAAGGACGTTGGAAGCTGAAAGTCATCGTACCGGAGCCCAAGCACGTCACGACCACGGAGAGAGAAGTTGAAAAATCGTTCTATGGTCCCTTCAAGGCTTGCGCTGTAGTATGAGGAGTATTCACTGAGCGCCATATTTGTGGGCGCTGTCTAGAGCGCATGCTCAGCACGAGCCCCCATTAATATGCTGCTAAGACCGGCCATTTTGACGGTGTGGATTGCACGTTGAAAAAGAACCCTGGAAGCTAGCCATCAGCACGCGCTCAGCAGTCGCGCACACAGTTATGGCCGCCAGTGAATACTTCCTATAGGAGGCATTCACTGGACACCATATTTGATTGCGATGTTTAGAGCGCATGCTCAGAACGAGCTCACATTAATAGCATGCTAAGACAGGCAACCTTGATGGTGCTAAATGCACGGTCCAAAAGGACTGCGGAAGCTGGCCGTCAGCACGCGCTCAGCAGCAGCGCACACGGATATGGCCGCCAGTGACTATTTCCTATAGGAAGTATTCACTGGCGGCCATATCCGTGTGCGCGACTGCTGAGCGCGTGCTCATGGCGAGCTTCCACAGTTCTTTTCTAACGTGCATTTCGCACCCTCAAGATTGCCGATCTTTGCAGCCTATTAATGTGGGCTCGTTCAGAGCATGCGCTCTAGACATCACCCACAAATATGGAGCCCAGTGAATATTCCTTATACTACAGTGTAGCTATACGATGGAATCGTCAAATTATTTAGAATCCTGGTTAAATTAAAGCCTTTTCATGTTTGCAAAGTAGCGCAGGTGCGTCGATGCACGAGGCACGTGCAACGTGCAGCACTGAGGAAGATCATGGCGGCACAGCGCAGCAATGAGTTAGATTTCAGACGCCATGCTCTTTTCAGAAGTGGCGCGTGGCACGTGTCTGGAGTATTTTCACAACAATGAATGGCGCCACTTTTCCCATAATAGAGGTGCTTTAGGTTAAATTACATCTTGAAGTCGAGAGTGTATGGTCATCCGAGTACATAAGGTGGCAAGCGGTGATATACGACATGGCTCCCACCTGTGCACGAACAAAGTATAAACGCAGTATGCCCTCAAGAACACCTCGCGTGATTATTTCAGACAGAACGACACACTCAGCACGAGCACAGAATCGCCAGTGGTTGCGCTTCCTTCCTGTCAGAGCTGAAGAGCCCATACTCAAAGTACAAGCGCGCTTGAATATACCTATGCGGGGTACGAACTGAGGCAGCAAAAATGTTTCGTTCCACGCCACTGAGCGTCAGTTTATATATAAAAGAAAAGCGCCGATGTCATGTTCGCACTAACCGTGTCGGTCAGTGTGCCTGGGCGAAACGCGCAGCTAAGTGCACAGTCCCAGTGTTTAGAAAAGCCAGGTCAGCGTGGAAAAAGCACTTCCTAGATTTTTTCGATGTTCCTAGAGATAAAAACAACCCGCCTACAAAATAAACAAAAACAAAAAAGCTCGCCCCTTAAACGCACTACATTTCGATCGACCGTTCGATGCTATCTTTGCACTGTAGTACAATAGCGAACGCTTCAAACTCCCGCTGCCCCCCATCTCTATACCAAACCCTGATGCTCATTTTGATAACGAGCCCGCCTGTTTTCACTTCCGTCAAGCGTGGTCCCCCGCGCAACCAAACATAGAAGTTCGCTCTGGATAAAGACCGCGCTCGTGCTTCTCTTATCGTCGATAGACAAAGCCCAGCAAAATCGGCTCCACCATCGCACTGAAAAAAAAAAAAAAAATCTGACGGCTCACGAAAGCTTTCTAAAATAGGCCCCTCTCTGTGCTGGGTTCACCATGACGGTGCAGTGGGAGTTATACGCACTCGCCGGACCGATCAGCTATCTCTCTTCCATCAACTAATTCTTCTCCGTGCGCGTGGGCGGGCGCACGATCACGTCGCGAAAAAAGGAACGTACGATTGGTCCCAGTGAACACGTACATCTTCCACCAAGTGGTCGGCTTAGGAACGAACGGAGTGCACAACCCGTATATCCCCTTCAACGCGCGTGCCCCCGCAGGCGACGCTAGTCCGCCAGTCTTTGAAGTGGTTTCTGAGATCGTTACTTTGTGGCGGTAACACGATCTACGCGCTGAAAGCATCCCAATATCTAGAAACTACAGTCATGCCTAGCCTATTTTCCTGTTTAAAAAAAATATGTTCAAAGGTCGCGGACACGCACTTTCTCAGGGCGAATAATTCTCCTAGTGAAACGGTCGACAGTTCAGAGCAGTGGTTCAGGGTCCGAAGAAGTCCCAAGCTGCCGCTGCCTTGGAGGAATTGCGTTTCAGCAGTTGTTTGCGCGTGCAAGTGATATTTCACAATCTGATCCGATTCTACTTCGTCTCACCTTAGCATGGCATATTGTTAGCCGCGTGTGCTGAAAGCGCGAGCTGTTGGCTTTAGATGAACCCTCGTAGGCTGCGCCAGCGCTCGTGTAGTGATTGCTCCAGTCAAGGCAGTCAAGGCTACCCGCTCGTGCTTTCACAGCCTTCGCAGTTAGTCCATGCTAACGTGAGACGAAGTACAGAAATCCTTTGGCGGACCAGGCTGTTTACAGACGTTTTCTGTTTCCTGTCTTTCTCAGTCACGGGTTCCGTATCTGGTGTGCGGGACGAAAAAATAATGAAACATTTCCACCTGTAATATGCGAGAAACATAGGTGAGGCAAAACAAGAATGTGTGCCAATCGCACATTTTTTGTAAATACCTTCCAGCGGCGTGGAGAG